TCCGCAGCAGTGGAGGTCTGCGGGTCCCCCGAGCACTGGGCGCAGTGGCCCCCCCTCCAGTCGGGGACCTCGCTCGGCTGGCCGTGACGTTGGTCCCTGTGAGTACTGGATCCTTACGGGTCCACGTAGGGACTCGTACTGTGGCCGCCCTGACCACTCTGCTGCACGCTGCTTCAGTCGTCTCGACGACCTTTACCTCTTGCACCACGGCCCCTCCGCTCCCCCGCCGCCACGCTGGGGGACACTCCTAGCTCGTGGTATCTTTGTTTTTTATATGACTATGGATGATGCTAGGTCTTATGCCATGTATGCTGATGTTGACTATAGTGCTCCTGGATCTGTGTACTTGCCTGTACCTAGCGTAGGATCTTTGCCTGTTGCTAGAGTAGGTGCTAGTTTGGGATGTTGTTTAGCTACTAATACAGGTACTCCCTCGGCGGACGCGTCTCTCTCCTTCACACTGGACTCAGGAGCGACGCAGTGCTTCTTCCACGACCGCACGACTCTCTCTCCACTACCGGCGCCAGTCTCCATAGCACTGGCCGATCCCTCTTCGGGACCGGTCATTGCGACTCACGCCACTACACTCCCGTGCCCAGCTGCTCCTTCTGGTTCCCTACCTGGCCTCCACGTTCCTACGTTCTCTAGGAACCTGGTTGGTGTGGGCCCCCTGGCGAGACAGCACGTCGGGGTCTGGGTTGAGCCTTCTGGTGACACCGCGGTCTGTGTGGACGGTGACACGTACACCCCTTGGCCATTTTCGCCAGGAGCCGGGCTCCGGTCTGTACACCCTCCACACCGACCCCCGTCAGGTTCCTCCGTCCCACCAGGTAGCCGGGTCCAGTCAGGTTGCTGTGTCCGGTCTAGTTGCTGCGTCGTGCTCGTGTCGGTCGCTTGCCCACCCCTCCCTCCTCTGGCACCACCGCCTTGGTCACCCGTCCCTCCCTCGTCTCCGCGCTATGTCCAGTCAGCGTCTTGTCTTAGACCTCCACCGAGTCCTCCCGTCGCTCCCGCCGTCCCCAGCTCCTCCGTGCGGTCCTTGTGTCCAGGGTCGGCTGCGCGCCACCCCTCACTCCTCCTCCCTTCGTCCGACCACCGAGCCCTTCGAGACACTCCACTTAGACGTCTGGGGCACTGCTCCCCGTCTTGGCCCTGAGCGGGAGAGTTTCTTTCTGGTGGTCGTTGACGATTACTCTCGGTACACCACCGTGTTCCCTTTGGCGAAGAAGTCCGACGTGACTTCTACGCTGATCCGGTGGCTGCTCGCCACCGAGAGTACTCGCCGTCGTCGTGTCAGTTGTCTCCACTCCGACCGTGGGGGTGAGTTTCGCTCCGGCGTTCTCGCCAGATTCTGTGCTGAGCAGGGCATCACCCAGTCCTGGATTCTTCTAGACTCTCCACAGCAGAATGGGGTTGCTGAGCGCCGCTTAGGCTTTGTCATGGAGATTGCCCGCACCTCCATGATCCACGCCCGCGCGCCCCATTTTCTGTGGCCCTACGCGGCTCGGTACGCCGCTCACCAGCTGAACCTCTGGCCTCGCGTCTCTCGGCCAGGGGCTTTACCGACAAGTCTTTGGGCAGGGTCTCCTGGTGTTGCGTCGAGGTTTAGTGTCTGGGGCTGCTTGGCTCTTGTCCGCGACACCTCTGCGGACAAGATCTCACCTCGCGCCGTCCCCTGTGTCTTCCTTGGTTTCCCAGAGGACTCCTCTGACTTCACCTTTTACCACCCTCCCTCCCACCGGTTCTTTGACTCTCGTGACGTCCGTTTCGACGAGTCCGTCCCCTACTACGTCCGGTACCCCTGTCGAGGTCTCCCGGTTCCCCCCCCTCCCCTCTTCCTGGCTCCAGCTCCTCCTCCTCCCGCCCCTGCTCCTCCGGTACCCCCCCCTGTTCCCGCTCCGTCTGGTGTGTCCCACGCTACTCCCCCCCCCTCGGTACCCCCCCAGGTCTCTCCTCCTTCCCCACAGTCGTCCTCACAGCCTCCGCAGCAGCCGTCAGCGCTTCCTTTACCGGCCACTGCGGACTCTGAGGGTGTTGGTGCTCGAGGTGAGGGCTCTGGCGGTGCTCGCTCTGGGGGTGCTGGCGTTGGAGCTGTTCGTGCACCTACAGGAGCCGCCCGTTCTGGGGGTGTTGGCGTTGGCGCTGCACGTACACCTGCCGCAGCTGCCCGTTCAGAGGGTGCTGGAGCTGGTGGTGGTGCTGGAGCTGGTGGTGTTTCTGGAGCTGGAGAGTCTGGGGCTGGTGCTGGTGCCACTGGAGGCACCACGACTGGGGGTGCGGGTACACCTCCTACAGGTGTTGGTCATGCTGCCGCAAGGGGTACTCGCCCTAGGGGTGCTCAGCCGGGTACTGTTGAGGGCGGAGCCAGTTCTTCTTCTTCATCTCCTGACACCACTCCTCCTCCTCACTCCTACCCGACTCGACACCAGGCCCGTCTTCGTCTTGAGCGTGAGGAGCAGCAGCGTTTGGAGCGTGAGAGGTTGGAGGTTCAGCAGCGGGTGGAGCGTGAGAGGCTGGAGTTGCAGCGGGAGCAGCAGCAGCAGCAGCAGCCGCCGCAGCAGCAGCAGCAGCAGCAGCATAGCAGCAGCAGCAGCAGCAGCAGCAGCAGCAGCAGCAGCAGCAGCAGCAGCAGCAGCAGCAGCAGCAGCAGCAGCAGCAGCAGCAGCAGCAGCAGCAGCAGCAGCAGCAGCAGCAGCAGCAGCAGCAGCAGCAGCAGCAGCAGCAGCAGCAGCAGCAGCAGCAGCAGCAGCCGCAGCCGCCGCCGCAGCAGCAGCAGCAGCAGCAGCAGCAGCAGCAGCCGGAGCAGCCTCACGCCTCTGTTACTGGCCTTCGGGCCCTTGGTCTCCCCTCCTCTCCTCCTGTGTTCGGTCCTACGTTTCCTCCTCCGGACTCAGCTCCGGCTGTGTTCCCTCGTTCTCAGTCTCCTCCGTCTCCCTCTCCGTCGTCCACACTTAGGCCTCTCGTCCTCCTCGTGCTCGTCCCTTGTCACATGTCACTAACCTCCATACCGTGTTGTTCCGTCCTAGTCCTCCTCGTTCTCCTCCGTCTGTCCTTCCTCGTCCTCCTGAGTCGTCCCTCACTGCCTCCCTGTCCACTCCGGTCACTGACTACTACCGCACGTACCACCCCACTCTCTCTCGTGTTCTCGCCTCTCTTGTTACAGACCCCCGTGCCTCTCCTTCTTCCGTCGCGGTCCTCACTGCCGCTGTCACTGACTTTACTGCTACGCGTCGCCTTGACTACGCCACTCGTGTTGTGGCCGCTCCTCCTGTCCGTCCTCTGTCCGCCGGGGGTGAGTCTGCCCTTGGTTGTGACGTCCTAGAGGACAGACAGTTTGAGCTAGAGTTCCTGGCAGCTGCTTCGCCTCATCTCTGTGCCATGCTCCTCGCTCCTGAGGGAGACCCCGACGCTCCTGACATACCTACTCCTCGCACTTACGCTGAGGCAGTGTTAGGGCCTTGGGCCTCTCAGTGGAGAGCTGCCATGGACGCAAAGATGGCCTCCTACAGGTCCACAGGCACTTACGTTGACGAGGTTCCCCCCCCAGGGGCGAACATAGTTGACGGCATGTGGATCTTCAAGGTGAAGCAGCCGCCGGGATCTTCCCCAGTCTTCAAGGCGTGCTACGTGGCTAGAGGTTTCAGTCAGCGAGAGGGAGTTGACTTCTTTCAGACCTTCGCGCCCACCCCGAAGATGACCACTCTTCGGGTGTTACTGCACGTAGCAGCGCAGAGAGACTACGAGCTACACTCTCTTGACTTCTCCACTGCCTTCCTCCAGGGCAGCCTACACGAGGAGATCTGGCTGCGTTGTCCTTCGGGCTTCACTGGCACCTTCCGGCCTGGGACCCAGTGGAGCCTCAGACGACCGGTCTACGGTCTCCGCCAGGCACCCCGTGAGTGGCACGACACTCTCCGCTCTACTCTGTCCGACCTCGGGTTTGAGCCGTCTTCCGCCGACCCGTCGTTGTTTGTTCGTCGTGGGCGCACACCTTTCTTTGTTCTGGTCTACGTTGACGACTTGGTTTTTGCCACAGCCGACACAGTTGCACTGGCGGAGGTGAAGTCCGAACTGCAGAAGAGACACACCTGCACTGACCTTGGGGAACTGCGCCGCTACCTTGGCCTGCAGATCTCTAGGGACAGAGCCGCTCGCACCATGACTGTGACTCAGTCACACATGGTGAAGCAGGTCCTTCAGCGGTTCGGGCTTCAGCACTCTTCTCCTACACCCACCCCTCTTGCTGTAGACCACAGACTCACTGGGCCTTTTCCTGACGAGTCGTTCAAGCCCAGTGGTCCCTACGCAGAGCTGGTGGGCTGCCTCATGTACCTGATGACGTGCACTCGCCCGGACCTCGCCTTCCCTCTTAGCATCCTTTCTTGTTTTGTAGCGACTGGGAGACACCGTCCTGTTCACTGGACGGCGGCTAAGAGGGTGGCGAAGTACCTCGCCACGACATCAGACATGGGGCTTGTACTTGGAGGGACGTTGTGACGTGCTCAGACTGTGTGGTGACGTTGTGATCCACCCTGAGCTTTGTTTTCTCTCTTGTTTGTGATTGGTCTTGTGACCTTAGGTTGCGTTTTGTTGCTTGGCATTCCCCACTTAGGCTATGGAAGTGTGTCAAATGTTATAGCATCTAGTGGGTTATGCGATATGGGGTACAAACAGTTAGGGTTAGGTATTTGTACCCCAACCCAATCAATCAAACCATTCCGCTGTTTTCAGTTACTGAGACCTATAGTGAGGCATGTCATATGGTCTACAGTTCTTAGGGTTAGGTTTATGTACCCCAACCAACATTGTCAATGAAACATGTTCATTGTTGACACAATCAGACTATTTAGTCGCAGGGCCAAAAAACTGAATGTGCTGGAGCAGTTCACAATAATGTACAGAGCTAACAGAACAAACATCAACATTGTAGACAAAAAAATAGGGTACAACCTTTCTTTTTTTGTATACAAAAAGGAAAGCGTAGAAATGCTAATCGAGCTATGCCTTCATCTCATCAAAGGCTTTTTTGTTACTTTCTTACCCCTGTTTTTCTCCCAGGTGGTGGCATTGGTGATTTCCTGCTTTCCCCTTCGCCCCTCCCCTTATCCTTTCCCTTACCCTTCTCTGCCTCTCTCCTCGCCCTCTCAGCTTCCTCCCTCTTCGCCTTCTCCTCTGCATCCCTCGCCTTCCTTTTCTCTTCCTCCCGTTTTCTCTTCTCAGCCTCCTGTTTTGCCTTCTCTTTGCTCTTTGCAAGCTGCTTTCTTTCCTCCCACTCTCTCGCCTTCCTCTCTTTCTCTGTCTCACCTTCTGAGATCACCTAAGATTCTTCCTCGGTCTTCTTACACCTGCTTTCTTTCCAGGCGGTGGCTTGGGTGATTTCCTGCTCCCCCCTTTGCCGTTCCCCTTGTCCTTTCCCTTACCCTTCTCTGCCTCTCTCCTCGCCCTCTCAGCTTCATCCCTTTTCGCCTTCTCCTCGGCCTCCCTCACCTTCTTCTCCTCTTCCTCCCGTTTTCTCTTCTCTGCAGCCTCCTGTTTTGCCTTCTCCTTGATCTTTGCAAGCCGCTTTCGCTCCTCCCACTCTCTTGCCTTCCTCTCTTTCTCTGTCTCCCTCTTCACCCCACTCGCTTCCCCCCCTTGCTTCTCTCTGCTGGTAGCCTCTCCTGTCTTCTCCCCTCCCTTCTCCCCTCCGTTCTCCCCGTCCTTCCCCCCAACCTGCTCTGACTTGCCGCCACTATCAACCCCACCAGCGTCTCTTCTCTTCTCCGACCCTTCCCTACTCCTACGAGATGAGCCTGGGCGTGAGACTGACGTGCTGTTCCATGGGAAAACATCAGCACCGGTCTCTGAGGTGGTGTTTGATGGCACATCAGCAGCACCGTTCTCTGAGGTGGATGGCACATCAGCAGCACCGTTCTCTGAGGTGGTGTTTGATGGAACATCAGCAGCACCGTTCTCTGACGTGGTGTTTGATGGCACATCAGCAGCACCGTTCTCTGAGGTGGATGGCACATCAGCAGCACCGTTCTCTGAGGTGGTGTTTGATGGAACATCAGCAGCACCGTTCTCTGACGTGGTGTTTGATGGCACATCAGCAGCACCATTCTCTGAGGTGGTGTTTGATGGCACATCAGCAGCACCGTTCTCTGAGGTGGTGTTTGATGGCACATCAGCAGCACCGTTCTTTGAGGTGGTGTTTGATGGAACATCAGTAGCACCGTTCTCTGACGTGATGTTTGATGGCACATCAGCAGCACCGTTCTCTGAGGTGGATGGCACATCAGCAGCACCGTTCTCTGAGGTGGTGTTTGATGGAACATCAGCAGCACCGTTCTCTGACGTGGTGTTTGATGGCACATCAGCAGCACCGTTCTCTGAGGTGGTGTTTGATGGCACATTAGCAGCACCGTTCTCTGAGGTGGTGTTTGATGGCACATCAGCAGCACCGTTCTCTGAGGTAGAGTTTCCACTCCCAGCAACGGTATTGGCAACCTCTGCAGTCAAATTGTCAGCTTTCTTTGCATCAGCGGCAACTGCAGCAGCAGCGTCTTTCTGTATCTTCGCCCATTCATCCAGAGCTGGAAGCAATGCAAACACCAGGGAATAAGAGCAAGTGAAGGGGAGTCCTTGAGTTCCCTCAGAGGTCACATGTGCCAATAATAAATCGCTGGAAGCAGCACAAATACCAGGGGCAAGAACAAGAGGAGAGGAATCGACTGAGAAAGGCAGCCTTTTGAGAATCAACCGACCTCAGGAAAAGCAGATAATCAGACAACAAACCGAATATGAACTAGTAAACCTTTGTACATGAGCTAACCGTAGGTCATGGGGAACCTATGAACTTAAACCTCGTAAAACCAATGCAAACACACACACACAGGAAGGAAATCTGAAGAATGACAATAGAAAGGATTGCAAAGAGAGAGAGAGAGAGAGAGAGAGAGAGAGAGAGAGAGAGAGAGAGAGAGAGAGAGAGAGAGAGAGAGAGAGAGAGAGAGAGAGAGAGAGAGAGAGAGAGAGAGAGAGAGAGAGCAGAGCTAGCTTAGCCCCTTAGCCTCTCAGCCTCTCAGCCCCCCTCTCTCCTAGTTTATAAGGCCTTGGGGCCTTTGTAGTTCCTCATTATTCAGCGGCGGGTTCGTTTCTTCTAACCCAGCGGAGCGCGCCGGCCGCCTTCGGCGCGTGAGGGGTGGCAAGACACACTCAATGCAAGCAACTATAGGCATGCATACAAGCAAGGCACACACGACACTAGACTAGGAAAAGCAATGGAGCAAACGGAGCTCCGGGGGCCCACGGACACTACATCTTGTCCGCGTCAAACACAGCAAGCAGGCCCGACAGCGTGCGATGGAGCTCCCGCACCAACACCGTGCCTGCGGCGATCGCCCCGGATCCAGTCCCTGCATGCAACAACCGGCGCAGCCCACGCACGGCCGAGCCAAGGGGCCCGACCCCCGCAAGCCCACCCGGCGCGGGCGCAGCCAACACGGGCGCTAGCAGCTCGGCGAGGCGATCAGCAGCCGCGAAGCAATCGTCCCGAGGGCCGCCCACCAGTGAGTCGCCCTGGGACAGGGCGGCATGACCATACACCTGCACCAGATGCACGACCCGCAGCGCCTCCGAGAGGCGCCAGATCTGACCAAGGGTCACCTCCGGCACCGCAACCGGACGCTGAGGTCCCAGCAGGGCCGAGAACGAGTGAGCCACACCTGCAGACGGGGGAGGGGGATCAACAGGCAGCAAGGACGGGTACTGTGCAGTCACGGGCCCACCAGCAGCAGTCAAAAACTCGACCCCCGCCACAGGGGGGACCCACGGGGCCCGGCGCTGATTCCCCGCCTGCGGGGTCGAAGCAGAGGGAACAAGAGGAGGAGGAGCAACCGCAGGAGGACAGGGGGCTGCCTGGGCGACAGGCGCAGCCGGGGAGGCGCCACTGGTGTCTGAGCAACACGCGGGGAGTTGCTCTGGCTCGCCTGCCCGTTCCGCTCCTCGCGCACAGCAGCAGTTACCGCGCGCTGCAGGTCAGCCATCGTCACCGGCTGATCATACCCCCAGCCGCCACCTGGCTGACGCGGCCCCCACCAGCCGCCTCGGCCGCCGCGTTGCGCCGCCCAGTTCGCCTGAGAACCGCGGCGCCGCGGGGAATTGTGGCGGCGCCGGGACGTCGCGCGCTCGTCCTGACGCACGGGGGATTGGGGCCGCTGCTGACGGCGGCCAGGAGACTGCCGACGCGGAGCGGACGGTGCAGCGGGATTCGCCACCAGTGGTGCGACAGGAACAGCAACATGCGGCGCAGACGGACCCGCCGCATGCGGAGCCGACAGTGCAGCACCAGGCAGGGCAACAGGAGCAACTCCAGGCGGCGCAGGAGGAGCACCCGCAGACGGTGCAGGGGGCGCAACCACAGGTGGCGCGGGAGGTACAGCCGCGGCCAGAGCAGGAGCAGACCCAGCAAGCACAGGCGGAGGAGGCGCTAGCGTCTGAAGCGGTGCAGACAGAGGAGCCGGGGCGGCGGGAAGCGACGGCTGGCCCTGGACGTCAGTGGTGGCGGACCCCTCCGGCTGGGCCGCCACGCCGCCAGCAACAACCGCCTGTTCGGCAGCCGCAGACGGAGCGACGGGGTCGGCAACTCGAAGAGCGCCAGACGGAGCAGACACATCGGACGCCGCAGCGAGAGGGACAGGCGGCGCAACAGGAAGCGATGCAGACAGCGCGGGCGCCTGGTGACCACCGTCGCCAGGCAGAGACGCCAGGGCCTCGCGAAACGACGGTGCGGGGCGAAGAAGGATTTCAGCACCTTCTGTCACGGGCTTCGGAGCAGGCGGCGTCGGGGAGCCCGTCGGCATGGTCCCCGTTCCGAAGGCAGGCGGTGGCCTTTCGTACGCAGCCGACGGAGCGCCAACGCGTATTGGTGAATAGTCGGTCGGCCCAGAAATCACCATCGAGGGGCCGAGGAGGGCGAGGTAGAGGGAGAGTAATAGCTAGCGGCGTAGGAGGTGGACCCGAGAATGGCTTCCAAGCGGCAGGGCGTCGGGCTTTAACAGCTCTGGAGAGAACTAATGAAGAGGAGGAGCGAGGGGATCCTTCTTATAGGGAGGAGCCTCTCCCACAAAGTGAAGATGACGAGGAAGAAACAGATGATGCTGGAGACAGACGAGGGACTGAGATACAAGCAGGCGGGGAAGGAGGAACGCATCAGGTCAATCGGACGGCTACGATCCCAACTCCTGGACAGAGCGATGCACCGAGGCGCATGCAGAGAAATCAGGTTGCGCGCTCTGGAAGCGCGTCAGCAAACCAAGCACATTTCCCCCGCTACTACTCGCCAGGGGAGTTGGCGAAGCGATCGGATCTGTTCGCAGCCATCGGTGATTGGGACCTAGAGGCACTATGCGACAGTCGTCAGCCATCCCTGTCACGCCGATTACCGCCCAATTTGTGTCAGCTGTTTTCACTGGTGTTACTCACCCCGCTCCTCCACCTCGCGCGAAATCCGGACTCAGTCGCAGGTTGGCGACTGCTGCTGTTTCTCCCACGGCTCACACTTCGCCAGCCGTCGCCAAGAACACCGAAGTGGCCCGAAGTCAAAGCCCGTCTCAGAGCTTTCCAGCGTGGCGAATGGGGGCAGCTGTACTCTGACGCGATCGAAGCCATCAACACCCCACCGCCTCCACGTCACCAGCCTGACGAGGCGGGAGTACTCAGCAGGGCGGAGGGCCTGGCTAAGCGAGGAAGCCTCCGCCGAGCCGTGCTGGCCCTCGAGTCAACCCCAGTCTGCACGCCTGGCCCGGGGGTCTTAGAGGAACTTCGCGCGAAACACCCCCGAGCCGACGACGAGCATCTGAGCTGGCCAACAACACCAGGCCCGAACCTTCAAATCAGCCACGCTGATTTCACCAAACTCCTGGGTCGTTGCGAAAATGGGGTGGGGACTGGACCATCCGGAACCTCTTTCGAACACCTTCGCGACGCATCGGCAACCAACGCATCGGTCTGCACCCACCTGCATGCCCTAGTCAACACTATCCTGACGGGCAAATTACCCGAGCCAGTTGCAGACCTGCTGACGGCGTCGCGCCTAATCGCGCTGTCCAAGCCAGGTGGGGGGGTTCGGCCAATTGCAATTGGCGAGTGCCTGACGCGCCTCGCGGCCAAGGCAGCTCTGACTGCAATTGGGGAAGCTGCACGTGACCATTTCCTGCCTCTACAGTACGGGGTGGCGGTACCTGGGGGAGCTGAAGCGAACATCCATGTCGCACGTGCCTTCGTTGACTCGAGGGACCGCTGCGTGGTGTTACAGACCGACATTTCAAATGCCTTTAATAGCATTTCGCGACAAGCAATCATCAACGGGATTTGCGACAGCAACCTTTCGTCACTGCTCCCCCTAGTTCGGCTAACGTACGGTAACCCTTCGAAGCTGTACCTCGACTCAAATTTCGCCAGCCACCCGCTGAACAGTGAACGCGGGGTGAGACAGGGGGACCCACTCGGCCCCCTACTGTTCGCAGCAGGGATCCACCCAGCACTTCGCGAAACTGCAGCTGCACACCCCCACGTTCTCTGCTTGGCGTATGCAGACGACGTGACATTTTTGGGGGATGACTCAGACACTGTAGCAGCATTCAACTTATTCACGAGCAAGTTAGCGCAGCTGGGTCTCACACATAATCCACAGAAATGTGTGGCATGGAGCACAGGAGGCGACGAGCCTATTCAGCTGCCGCCAGGGGTCCCGTTATCACAGGATGGGATACGCCTTCTAGGTAGCTTCCTGGGGCCAGCAGCGGGTGCGGCAAAATTCCTGGCAGGGCAGCTGGAGGAAATGGCTAAGCCGCTGCCACTGTTAGAACGTGCCGACCCCCAAGTAGCCTCCCTGCTACTGACCCGCTGCATTTCTAGACGCGTAGCATACCTCACTAGGACCACGCCACTGAATCTCCTGCCACGAGACACCTGGGCGCAGTGGGGGAGAGACCTTCTAGCAGCGCTCCTGACATCCTGCGGGATTAAAGTCCCTACCTGTAGCACGGAGCAGTCGAGAGTGTGGACGCAGGCTTCGCTTCCCTCATCCCTGGGCGGCTTAGGACTGACAGACCCACTCGTAGAAGGGGTCTACGGATTCGTAGCCAGCTTCACACAGGCCGCACTCTTCTTTTCCTCCCTGACGCTAGCGCCAGACACAGCACTGACCCGAGCACACAGCCACATGATTCTGCCCCGAGACAGCACCACACCGCTTCACTCCTGGCTCACAGAGTGCGAGACAGCCCTACCCTCAGACGCACGCGACGTAGTTGACCAGGAGCGGCTCTCTCGGTCGGACATCAAGCTCCAGCACACACTGGGCCTGAAAGTACAGGGGAGTAGATACGCGGTTCAGGTCCAGGAGACGAGGCAAATGAGACTGAATCCACTCTCCGGGCACACACAGAGAATGTTCTCACTCACAGGCTACGGCACAGGGGACTGGCTGACGGCGGTCCCGGTAGCTTCCTCACGTCGCATCGGCCCGGTACACTTCAGCAACGCCGTGCGCTTCCGGTTAGGCCTCCCTTTCTCCACCCCGAAGAATTGTGACTGTGCAGACCGCACCGCTATCACAGA